GGGCCGGGTGTCGCGGCGCGGGGAGAAGCGGGGAGGCCTCGGGCCGCTTAGGGACACCGCAACGGGCACCCGCCGACACAGGCACCGCAGGGGAACGGAGCCCTCCCCGCCGCTCCCCGGCTCATGCCGACCGCCAGCGCAATCCTGGGCAACGCAGGGGCCCCCAAACACATCACCCCACTCGCCCTGAATCCAGATGCCATAAAATACGCCTAAATAGTTTTAACAGATCAATATACAGACTTATTTGGCAACGTAAAATTGCACAGGAATTACACCAAGCTTTAAACATTCATTAGCAGCTTCCTCTTAAATACATACGATTAAAACCATAGCATGTGAAAGCATAAAGGTATGTGTTAAGGCAAGAACACTCATTCAAATGAACTCTGCGGCTCCCCGGAACAGGGGACGCTAACGGCGAAGGAGCCCCGCGCCCTCCGTGCGGGGACAGAAGCAGCGTGCGCCGGGCTCCCGCCGGCAACCGGCCCCCCCCCTCTTCCCCTCCCCGAGGCCACACTGCCAGCCGGTCCCGCCGGCAAGTTCGCTTCACGTTTGGAAGCCGCTCGGATACAGCAGCGTAATGCCGGTGCCCGGCCCCGGTGCTCGGTGGCACACAGCTCTGCCGAGCCTGCAGAGCCCCCAGGTGGCACCTACTCGCCACCACCTGGCTCTCGGCCTGCTCCTCGCTGACCCCGGCCACCGAGGGCTGCCCGCCCTTCTCTCCGAAAGTGAGAAGCGAACGGTAATGATCTCTGCAGCTACCGGTGTAATATTCTTTTGGAACAAGGGGCTTACAAAACACAAGGATACTTAAAACCCTGGAGAACCTAAAAGGCCGCGGGGAGACAGTAGGCGTGGGGGGGAAAGGCAGGCTGTGCGGAGGAGCCTTCATCCCTCACAGGCTGCTGCTTGGCAGTGCCCCAGGTTTGGGAAGCAGCAGGAGGTGCAGAGGGCTCTCCAGCCCCATGCCCGTCCCTTCCAACCCAACTCTTCCCACCCCCAGATCCCGACCGTGACATCTTCCGGAGGAAGGGGAGGGTGAGAACAAACTTACCACCCCCGGGCAGAGACAGACTGGAGATTCTGCAGCCTTAAAACATTCTCCTCCGTTTTTCTCCCATATATGCCATGTACTGGATGATCATCTGGCCGTGTGATTCTATGAATATTCATATATTCGCCACTTAGAAATGCAGGAAGCAATTTGTATTAAAATATCAACACAATGACTTCCATTCTCTGTGCCCCTGAGGGACATAAATATGTACTTTTTCCCTTTGATGTATAAATAATACTTCACTTTAGAGGAAAGCACCCAGTGACATAGATCATTATACATTTCACGAGGAATGGCCTTTAACATATTTTAGTTACAAGGAATACCCGCCATCAACATACTGTGAAAAAATTGTTTCTCTTGAAGCGTTACTTTTTAACCAGTATTGGTACTCAGTACCAGTTCGTACAGCCGCAACACTGATAAGCATTGATTAGAAAACTGACTCAATCTAAAGAAGGTGGAAGCAATAATGCTACCAATTATTTGTACTGATGTGTAATTGTATCAAAATTAAAACTTAATATAAATTCAATTTAATTCAAATACAATACTTTTTATTTGCCTTCCGACCCAAGGTTTTAATGTTCACATTCATAGGCCTTTATTTGCAGCTAGAAATTTTGAGCGGAAGATGATATATCCACATAATCCATGACATAGAGTTTTGAAAGATACACAAAATACCATAAGATATTCCATTGGGTCCACAGCGACACGTCAGTTTCTCATGCACAAGCTGACTGTAAGCACACTCGTTGCCAGAAGTCACATCACAGCGGCCACTCCTCTGCATTACATCTTTGTGGGCTGACTGTCCTCTTTGAAAAACTTCATTTCCAGGCACCTGTAGAAAAATGACCAGAACATAAATTAAGTTTCCAGAAATTATGCCAGACAACATAGCAAGTACCCAAGGCCTCAGGGAAGGTATGCTTTGGTCCAAAATATACCGTGAGTCTGACCCAAAGGAGATTGCCCTGGGGAGCCAAAATTGTAATGAGTTGGACAATTCTGAAATTTCAAAAGAAACTCACACAGATAGCTCGGCTAAAAACGTTGTGAAAGAGATCAGTAACTATCACATCCTGTATTACAATAAAATTCCAAAAAGATTTAACCCCATGTTTCCCAGGTACATCACCTGTCACATTGGTCAGATTTGGAATCTTTAACCTACTCAGTTTTTAACTCGTCTTCATTTAACACTGATCAGAATGAACATGTACACTGGAAATACCAAGGCACGATGTTCTATTTCCATGAAACATTGTGTTTCACCTACTCCCAGAATCTCCAATCACTTTCTGAAGCTGCTTATTTAGTATCCTTTTGTCTCTGCCACTCCCTATAAATTCTTCCTGTTCACTGCAAAGACAGGAGTTAAAAAAAGCCATGCATTGCATATCCTTATCCTGTCATAGTCATACACAAAAAAAATGAAACAGAAAACAATGTGGTCAACAGTAAAAAAACACCACCAAAAAAAAAACCCCAAACAAACAAACTCTCTGGTTTTTAGAGATCTTTATGAGAAAAGATGACCAAGTGAGACTTTATAAACATTTTAAAACATTTGAAGAAATAGGAATCTGAAACCTGGTTCGGACAATTACAACAGTTTTCCATTTGCAACAAAGAAA